TTTCACTCCTTCAGTGTTGAGGGTTAAAGTAATTAGGGTTCACTGACCTGGAACTGTACACGTGTGTGTGTGAAACGGAGGCAGGGAAGCAAACACCCCCACCCCTCAGTATCCATCCACCCCAAGACACTGATCCTCTGTATTTTATTCCTCGTTTACAGCAAGCAACCAGCAGCCCCACGGCTCTGGGAGGGGAAATCCCATCCCCAAGTAGAGTCCGCCTCTTAGTGCGGCCTCTCGGTTTTCTTCTCCACACGCCGCACCCCAAAATCCAACCTGGGGGACAAATCCCATTTCAGAGCAGTTCTCCAGGGCCGCATTCCCGTGGGGGGGGGCAAAACAAAAGGGGAGCCCCCCAAACCCCCCCCCCCCCAATCCAGCACGCTTGCACTTCAAACGCGTTGTACCTTAGCAGAGGCATTTCAGCCTTTGGGGAAGGGGGAGAAGCCAGGAGCACCAAATGATCCGCGATCAGGGGAAGCGGTCCGGCGGTCGCGGCCCTGCAGGGAGCTCCGGGCGCGGCCTCAGGAGGGTCGGACGCGGCCCGCAGGCCGGGGCTTCCCTGGCACCCCCTCGCGGCAGACTCCCCGGCGCCCCTGCCGGGACACGAGCTGCCCGGCGGCGCGGCGCTTGCGCCTCACACGCTCTCCCCGCAGGCGGCCGTTTCCAGGCCCGGGGCAGGAAATGCGGATCCGGCGCCAGGTACAAACACGACCCCTGAAGGCCTCATTTCTCAGCAAAAACACGGGCCATCGGGCCACCCAGCCGCTTCCAGGCGGGTCGACATCTCTGGCGCAAGAGGCTGGGCTGGCTCCTTCACCTCGTCCTTTCCCTCCAGGCAAATATTTTTGTATTCAGGCAGGCCTTTTGCATGTGAGCTGGTCTGCTGCTTGGAACAGTTTTAATCGGCAGGTGGAGTTTTTATTGCTGTGTTTTAATCGTTCATTTCATCTATTTGTTACGTTTTCATCACGCTCGTATTCATTCTTGCTTTAACCATTAGTTGCCTTGAACGGTTTTTTAGGTTGGGATGTAAATCAAGATCGTAACAAACTTGGTGGGTGTCCAGGATATCCCTGAATCCGCTGCAGAAACAAAAGGCAAGGCCCAGGAGGGGAGGGATACCAGATGCTGGGAAGGAGCCAGAGGGGAGGAGGGAAATCTTGGCATGTGCGGGAGAAAAACAGGCTGAGGAAAAAAGCGAAGAATCCAGACCTCAGGAAGAAGAGGCAGAGTGAGCAGAGGAACAGAAATTAAGGGAATGATCCTACGCATATTTACACAGAGGAAAGGTCTTACCGCTCCCACCTATGTCGTGTGTGTGTGTGTGTGTGTGTGTGTGTGTGTGTGTGTGTGTTATATTTATACTATGAGATACCCAAGGCATGTTTTTACAATGAAAAGTGGGATGTACAGTCACCCAGTAAATGCATTCTATTTCTTTGCTCATATTGTTGTTAATGGTTTGTGATTTTATTTATTTATTCAGCAAGCGTCTATGCTGCCCCATTCGCCGAAGCCTCGGGGCGGCTCACAAAAATAAATAAATACACAGTTAACCATATAAAACAATATAATTGGAGTCGTCCTGGCCAAAGATATAAAATCAATAAATAATATGAACAATTAAAATGAGTCTTAAGTGGGGGGTGACTTCCAGTTCCACCTTCTCTCCCATACAGTCTATTTCCAGAAGTAGCCTGACCTTGTAGCCTGTGTCAGAATCCCGGAATCTCGATTTGAGAAGAGGAAATAAAACTCGGGTTCGTGGGAAAGATCAAGCCTCCCCACCATCTTGGCTTTATTGTATTACCCAGGTTCCCCGCGGGTCTGTACACACGATCATGTATTACCGGGCAGGCAGAGGTGAACTCTGCTGCCAAGCTTCAATACCATTACAGGGCATTTATAGGTACGCAGGTACAGGGCAATTGGTGACAGAATGCAGAGATTACAATAAGATTCTGAGGTCATCACATACAGAACAGATAAAGGAATGTCAGTCAATCACACTGTAACAATGAATTACAATATTTATAATTGTCTGTATTGACACTTTGGTTCAGTAACTTGAACCCATCTCCAGGTCTGCTTATCACAGAGAACTGCTATCAAAGAGAAGTCTAAAAAGGTGATCCGAGAGATAACACGTCTCACGTTTTGCTTCGCATTGTATCATTCCATGCTCCTTTTTAGCCCCTCTTGGAAGCCCAGAAGGCCTCATGGTGGGGCATTAAATTCTGCACTGTGAAAACAGCCAGGAGGACGTGTCTGCTATGTGGATGGGAGAAAAGAAGTGCTCCCCGCCCAGCTGCTGCAATTCCCAATGCAGTGCACGGCACTGCAGCAACCGCTAGGCAACACTGCTGGAATCACACTACAGTCTGTGCCCTGCCTCTCCCCACTCTTCTCTTCAGACTAAATCCTTTGGACCTGGGGATGGAAGAAAGCCGCCCCATTCAGAAAGGTCAAGAAAGTGGTTCCCCTGTTTTCATACTTTGCTTATTTGTGGGCGGCTCCTGGGGATTCTTTGATGTGGGACCTTGTCCAAAGCCTCTAGGAAGTCGAATTAAGGAAGGAAGAAACCACAGGGGCTTATTCTGCACCCCCCTATGTGTGGTTTCCATGCCACCGGAATTTCCGCCTTTTCACCCTCAATGGTGTGGCTTGCAAACCCAGCAAGGCTGGATTGCTGTTGTTATTGCACTGCAATCATGGAATGAGCTCCCCACCAAGGCCAGCCTGGCACCAACTACTTTTACTACCTGTTCAGCCAGGTAAACACCGTCCTCTACTGCAGGGCATTTAATGATTGACTGGGGCCTGCCGGTTGATAGACAGGTCTAACTAGATCATTTTAACATATACTTTATACTTTCTGTTTTTTATTTGGTTTTACATTTTAATTTGCCAACTTTTAATGCTGTTTCCATATGTCTTAATTGTTATATTTTATATTGTTTTAAAATATGTTGCTATGGCCAGAGAACTTTGGCCGTTGAACAGTATATTAATTAATTAATTACAGTTCTATTCTGCCTTTTTTCCTCTCAAAAGGAACCCAAGAGAGCTCACATGGTCTTTCCCCTCTCCATTTTATCCTCTAAACAACAACCTTGCGGGGTAGGTTAAGGTGAGAGGCAGCGACTGCCCCAAAGTCACCCAGTGGGCTCCGTGGCTGAGCAGGGACTCGAACCCAGGGCTCCTGAGTCCCAGACCAGTCCTCTTAACCAGTGACTCACTGAACCACTACCAAGCCCATCCGGAACCTGAAGCAGCCTTTTGGCTGCAAGGCACACACTCACCCCAACAAGGAGGCTCCCAGCAGCTGGCAAGAAATGAGGAGCCAGGTGGAGGAGGGTCCCTGCGCAGAGCCCCCAGGTGTGTGACCCACACACGTGACAGCAGCCAGTCTCCTCTCTATGCGTGTGTGATTGCGCCGATATCTACTCGACACCGGTCTCCACAGGTTTATTCCCATTTTTAATACAATTTTATTATGTATTTTACAATGCTATATATTACACACCACTCCATGCCCAAACTCAATACCTGGTTGAGCACCCAACTGAGCATCCCTCAGGCATCCCATTCACTTCAGGAATATTTGTCCGGAAGTGGATATTGGGATAAATTGTAATTTTGGTACCATACGAGCAAATTGCGAGTTAAACCCTGAAACAAAATCTTTTCCCTTTACTGCTGTAATGTATTGCCATTTTTTAGCCGCAGTTGCTGGATTGATTTGAATTGTTTCATTATGTATTTTATCGTGTTTAATCTGTATTGTAAACAGCCTTGGGATGGATATATTCTTTTGCATTCATTGTGGAGCCGTGCTGTCATCTCTGACTTATGACAACCCTGTGAATGAAAGGCCCCCAAAATGTCAGCCCTGCCCAGCTGCACTGAACTGTTCATCAATTACAATTGATGGTATAGAAGTACCTAAGTATATATACCAGAACTGTATATCAATTGTAAAGGTACATCAGTGCCTTCAAGATATTGTCAGTATTATAAATATCACTGTTGGCATTATTGTTATTATATTGCAATTATATCTTGCCTCTCTTTCTCTTGCAAGTTGCCTGTGCTTGTCTGCATAGCTCTCCACACCTCCATTTTGCCCTCACAGCAACAACCCTGCGAGGTAGGTCGGGGGTGAGGAGAGAGGCGGTGACTCCCCCGGAGTCGCCCGGCGGGGGGGAACCAGCCCTGCGCCCACCGCCGCGCTCCTGGCTTCTCAGCAGCGAGGCTCTGCCTCTCGCGGGCGAAGCCCTCCGGCCGCTC